CCCGTCTAGCATTTAAATTCAGGTAAGTAAATAACTTTTCTGATTTTAAGGTTTCAATACGATTAAAACTTTTTCTACTAACTGTGATTTGAACTGCGTATTCGTCTCTTCATTATGGTTTATCGCAAAAATCAGTTGAAAGGAATCATGTTAAACCGCACAGAAATGCCGAAATATAATCTGAAACCGTTACAACTCTGACTAGGGTTTAAATGTCGAAGTAACTTACGTCTGCGAAGGATTAATATTCCAAGCGTCGAAACTTGCTTGTTGTACGCGCTTTCCTGGTGTCAAAATACCCTTCAGGTTTTGGTCTCTCGACGGTGCGCATTTGGAATGCCGCCAGAAATATTTTAACGCAAACAACAGCAAAGGATATGCTTCAATACAGTTCTTGTTTCATATTAAAATTCCGTGTACCAACTGGGTTTTTACGATGGTGAAGTTAGGTCAAATTTGCCATTTTTGAAAAGTGCTGAAACCGTGTTTCTTCTTGCGGCCGGTACAGTCACATTTAAACGGTTTATTTAAAGTTAACTGCTGAATTATAAAGTAAAAATGTGTGTCTCTTTTGTGACGTGATTTCATCTAGAGATATTATTCCGTTCTTATGTACGAGCGCGAAGAAAATGCTCAATTTTCGCTAATTTCATACTCGAAATAGCGCCGATTTAGAGTTTTTCAAACTTTGCCTGATTCCTGAAAAAATAAAAAGCTGTTACAAGTTTTAACGTGATTTTTGAAATTAGGGTACTATAGAGATTATTTGGGCAATATATGAAGAAATTCAAAAATTCACGACTGTCAACCGATTCTCGAAAATTACAGACATTGGCTCTTAATCTGCTGCTTTGCTTAATGTGTTGCATGATAATCTTTGAAGAAGGTCGAAACACAGCTGCTTTGTGACTGAGCAGCCCTGCCGGTATTTTCGCGTTCGTTACTTTTCGTCCTCCCTCTACCCTGTTGCTCAGTGCCGAAACTTCAAACGCCTTAAGCCTCAAGATGATCTCAGACGCCAAAGTTTAGCTTTAATACCGATATGTGACTCGTGCAGACGTCCTTCGTTTCTCAGTGCTTTCCCGAACGGCTGAATTTAGTCCCGGTTCAGACGCCGAACTTTTCATGAGCCGAACCTAATACATTAAATTAAGTACATGAAAAGTTCGGCGTCTGAATCAATTAGGAATGCCTGCTTCAATTTGGAACGGCTCAGCCGTTCTTTTCGCCTAGCCCTGCCGGGAATTTCGCCTTTGGAGCGACTTTGGAACGCCTTAGATTCAGACGCCGAACTTTTCATCACCGAACCTAATGCATAAATTATTATGACGTATTTTTGTAGGCAGTTTCACCGAAATGAGCATTTTTCGCCTTTTGAACTAAGTTCAGCTGCAATTAAGATCGGCGTCCGGAATCGATTCAACCGGTCAAAATAATTTGGGTCGGCCTAAATTCGAATTAGGTTCGGGTCATGAAAAGTTCGGCGTCAGTTGTGGTTACATAAGGCAAGATAGCCACAGCTGCGTGAAAAAATCAAATCTTCCGAAACAATTTACAACATTTCTTTCTTAAAAGATTTAGACAAAGGATGTTCTAATTCTAAATAAATATGTCTAATATGTGCTCACGGCTTCGAAAGAGCCGAGTTGTCTCCGGCCATTCAACCAAGACGCTGCAGACATAAGCGGTTACTATTTGTGCAGAATTTATTTAAAATGAAGACCCTGAGAGCGAGGCTGAACACGATAAGCGGTGTTGTATCGGCGACCTTCTCTTTTTCCGCGTGCAGCAAAAGAAATAGAATAAATGGGCAGCACGCAGGCAACGCCTGCAGGATCCTTCTCGGATCGTTTGAAGTTTCGTGACTCTGAACATATTCTAATCAGCGGCGGCTTTTTTTACTCAGGTTCAAATGAAAGCTTTTAAATTCAGTCGTGTTATCATACAGTGTACTAGCTATAAGTGGGAACTGTTCCAAGGCGGCAAAACAGTGTAAGATTACCAGCTTTTTAAGTTCCCATTACTTCCTTACCAGGTGCCAAAAAAACGTCTGAAAGAGGGAAGACACACAAAGGTTACCTGTTATGTTATCTCTAGCCACGCCATAACTGTGTAACCATAGCAGTTTGCATGAACTTTGAACAAAGGATGAAAACAAGCCGCAACATACCAAGTTTGTTAAAAGTAGAGATGTTTTAAATTTTCAGGGAAATTCGAACGTTACTGGGTCAACGGTTTAATTTAAGGTCAAAATGCAGCAAAAAATTCATTATTTTGTTTAAATCCCTAACAAGCGAAAACCGGCCGGCGCGGTATTTCAGCCTGCTACAGATTACATTACAGTTCAGTCCGAGAAATAGTGAATGGACCCTGAACATTTCTCGGAATACCTTATTACCTGAAATTTTCGCGATATATTTATTTCGCGATTTTGATGAGGCACATTTCACGACACTTGCGAAAATTTTATATTTTGAATCACTTTAAATTCGCGTTTTTGAGTACAACAATTTGCATTTCATACGCAATGTTATTTATGTTTTTTAATTAAATAAAACAACTTTATCAAAGGACCAATAACGTCAAAATCATGAAGAAAAAAGCAACAGCGGGACTAAATGTCAACATTAACAACAAAGCTGTTCTCACAATGTCCAGAGGCATTTCCTGCTTGTACGCAATTATTGTTCTTGTGGTAATAGATTCGTTCTTTCTTGATTATGTACATAATGTGAGTTCCTTAATTTTCGTGTCATGTTATATGTTCGCATCACTTTAATTTCGCGATTTTTTATTTATCGCGAAATTCGCGAAGTTAACGTGTCGCGAAGGTAGCTTCCGCTTCACTAGGAACTCTTGTGTTCTGAAGCTTCAACAAAACGGGCAAAAAAAACGTGCAAATCGTTTTGCAACATTGCTACAAACGAAGCGATGTTGCGCGTTTTACCACCTACGATCAAACGTGTCTTGCAACAAGTAATAAGTAATAATAGCAGTAAGACCCTGTTTACAAGGAGGGAGGGTAACCCTAGTGCTAGGGTTAATTATAAACATCTGAAAAATAAAAAGTTATGTTCTGTCTATGATGATAATATTTTCCCTTTTTTTCATGAATTTAACGTTTTTTTCCATAGAGGACCATAGAGAACTTGAGATGATTTCAAATTTTGGGCCGTTACAAAAAATGTCACGCATGACGAAACACGTCAGCAAAGCTTGTAAAGTGTGAAATTTGCTTGTAAACCAGAGCTAATTTTAACCCGCTTGCTAGGGTAACCCTAGCACAAGGGTAACCCTCTCTCCTTTTAAACAGGCCTTTAAACGTGCATCGGTCACACTTAAAAACTCAATTTTCCCAAGGTAAACTTTCAACAAGTCGAGTTTACCTACTGTAGGTAAAAAGTCTGTAGTGTGACCACAGCTATTTATTCATTCAATAACATCAACCCTATCAAAGTTTGGGTTTTGGTCGGTCATGAAAACAATGGAAAAGTGTAACATGGAATTCTGAGCGCTTACCATTTCTAGGGAAAATATAGTAATTCCGGCGGAATTCAAATCTCGGTGGAATATTTTCGGACAAAAGGTAATACGGCCCGCTTTTACAACTAGAACTAACCTTTTTAACTGTATAACTAAATCCCATTCCTGTTTTCGGTGCGAAAAAAAAAAGTACACCACTGTTGACGGAGAATTTCACCGAAATTTCCGCACAAATGGTAAGCGCCCCATAGCCTCGCTTGTGGGTATGATAAGCAAGGCATTGTTATATACCCCGTGGCCAGCGAGGATGGGTGATTCAGTATTTATTCACCTTAGGTAACAACCTCAAGGAATAAATTAGTTTTCCCCTGTTACTTTGACTTATTTAGAAGTAAGAGCTGTAAAGCATGCTCTGTCACCATGATGAAGAAAGCAATACACCTTTTTACCTTGTATGTTTTGTTTTCCCAATTCAGACCACGTGATGTTCCCTAATGAATTTGCCTTTTGTCTTTTCATTAATTACGCACGTGTTTGAAAGAAACAGTTCTCAGGGGTACCACCACGTGGTCTGAAACGGGAAAACAAAGCGTGCAAGCTAAAAACGTCTATCAGCAGAGTGATCAGTTGGAGTGCAAGGAAACACTGGCAGTTATACATATATAGATTTCTGCTTGTTTAAAGGTCTGATTGTGAATTTTGTTCCGTCCACCAGATGCTTTAACACATTCTTTTGAGCGAACGCCGAGAACGAGTAAGTAACAATATTTGATATAATTTTTACTAGTATATGTAATATGTCTTTAAGAGGGCTGTTCCAACCGCAGCTTTCTCTAGGTAGGCTTTAAAAGGTCTTGGTTTTAATCCTTGACTTCCCCTCTAAAGGTAACAAAAAATGTTTAACATGCAGTATACTTTGTATACTGACGAATTTGTAAGCCTTTCAAACACACAGCAACGCCGCCTTGAATCACTTAACATGTCGCCCCGTGTAAGGGAATATCCCTGAATATCTTGAAAATTTTTGCTCGTTTAATCTGGAATCCTGGCCTGGGTATCCGGAATACAGCTGTAGAAATCCGGAATCCTTCTAAAGATCGGCATCATACGGAATCCAATCTCTACTGATTAAGAATCTGGAATCCAGTTCCTGGAATCCGAAATCCACAGCATGGAATCCAGAATCTAAGACAGTCTTGGATTCCCTTATATCGGGCGAAACATGGGCAAGGTGAAAATTTGTCGTCCAAACACTTTTATCAAAGGGGGTATTAAATCTAGCGCGCAACTTCATTTATTTTAAACCTCACAATCTTAGCTGAAAGAAGGGTAGAATCGTGTGAACAGAGGTAAAAGGAATACGCGATGCCATGTATTCGTTTATAGAAGATCTGGTGTGAACATGGCCTTGATTTTTGTGGGAACGTCGTCTGACTTAGCCTCTTAAAATGTCTGGGAGCCTGTCTTCCATCAAATTATTTTCTTTCAAGAAAAAAAAAATCAAAGTATCTTGAATTCTAGTGGACGAAGATGATGATGGATTTGATCTCATTCAGCCATCGCTGATCCAGCAGTTGAAGACCATCCTAGATCAGTACCCTGACGATGGACAGATATTGAAGGTAAGAAATGTGGAAGGCTTAAGGTGCAGATCCGAATTTTGACGGATTCTTGCTTTCAGGTTTAAGACGAAGTGAAATTCGTGAATCTGATAAAACTAGCGGACTCAATGCTTATTTAAAGAAATTTGAAGGGAAAAAATTACGAATTTTTAGGAAAATGCTTTTTTTGCGAGAAAGACTGTTAAACACTGTTCAACGCTTACAAACGTCAACAAATAGCTAAAACTATAATTTCTATATGTTTGCATGGCTCGAAATCGCGGACATTTACAAGGCCCTAAAGCTTTTTGCTGACTTGTAAGGACCCATCTGTTATAAACATCCCCAAAATAAAGGCATAAATCTCATAGTGTATTAGATATAATCGTGTAAAGTTTGCTTAACATTTTCACATAAATTATGACCAAAATTTGGTCATAATTTATTTATTTAGGCCTGAATTTCTCGCATTGGGTCTTTGCAATTTTGGTGAAACTCTGTTCAACTTAAGGCACTAATGCGCACTATATGTAGCCGATAGATTTTCCCGAAAAAATGCCAGCAACAGCAGAATTTCGACTCAGACCCCAAAGAGGCGTGGCACTAGACCACGTGACATTTACTCCGATTGCCAAAAATTTTATGCTATATTGTAGATTGATCTATATGACTGTTATCCATGCTATATGTTAGACTTACGATCAAAGTAAAGGTGGGGATACCAGAGAGCTTCAAAGTAGGATGGTACGCCCACAAAATAACTGGGTCGAGTCACCTTAACTCCTCTTCAATCGCTCTCTTCAGTATTGTACTCTTCTGCTGACTCGCAGGGCTTGTCCGCGTAGGAATTACATCTTCATATATAGCCTGTTGGAATTTTTGATGGATATTCGGCACAAACTCAGGATTAAAAGTCCAAGAGTCGTCAGAATAGACATGCAATTGACAGGCTTTCAAGAGTGAGACATTTTATTTAGACGGGAAGATGATGGTGGTTCAAAAGCAACAATGACAAACAACTAGTACGGCAAAAAAACAATAGGTTTGAATTAGCAAAACGATAGTTTTGAACGAGCATCACGCCTTTTGGACATTTCTTTGCAGTCATTGGACGACCCTGACTTGAAACTTCCTAATTTCACGTTTTTGGAGGACGTAAACTCAAGATAACGATGTTCGACTTTTTTTTTAAACCTAGATACAGTTTTTTAGAATTTAACTGCAACCCACGTGAAAAGGCGGCCATGATGGGGCTCAATACAATAGATTTTTTTTCTCGAACAATTTACATGAAAATAGTACTTTATTCTCAGCGTTCTCTCTCTCACGTTGTATTGAGATTGGGCACCGACAGTCTTGTCCTGTTGATGAATGCTCTGCAGAGAAAAGGGAGGGTTTGGGTATGGAAAAAATACATAGAGGACGAAACTTGACTGTGGACTGTACAATTTAACATTGGCCGCAAAAGAAATAAGCGGTGTATATGAATGGCAAAAAATAAATAAATAAACCTGAGAGGAAATTTAACTTCGTCCGTAAAACAGTTACTATAAAACTATACGTTACGAAGCAGGGTATCACACCACGAGATGAAAATGAACTAAAAGCGGCGATGAAGACAGCACGTGTTCGCGAAGCAAAACAGAGTTAAGACAAAAAACAAAAAATTAAACAGACCTCTAGAGTGACCTCTTCTGCTGCGGCATTTTGTGGATTAGCAGGCGGTTCCTCCGTGTTCTGTGGAGGTGGAGGCGGTGGCTGGTTTAAAACTGCTGCCGCTTGAGCCGCTTGAAGGTTTTGGTCCGCCGGTACTTGGACTTCACGGTCTGCCATTTTAACTAAACCGCTTTGCAAGATCGATAGAATGGCATTATTTATTCCGTCTCATCTTCTTTTATACGTGAGAGGTGAGACCGCTGAGAATAGAGTTTAGTTCCCAGAGGAGGGAAATGCTTTTGTTCTGACCACCAATATGGCCGCTGTGACGTCACGAGCAAACTAACAATAGTGAAACTAGCAGTTAACGAAGCAACTGAGTTGACTGGTTTGTGAGCTAGGACCGTATTATTCAGCTGGTTTTTATTCTAAAGTTTGCCTTCGGGCCCTTAATGCTTCTAGAACTTTCGAGAAAAGGATAGGTAAGGTGGAAAGGAATAAGACAGTGTGAGATAAGATAAGGCCTATAGTGGGGCAGATATGTGCAGATTTGGGGCCGGATTGTTCACTTTTTGTTAAAAGCACCAAATTTTCAGGAATGACAGAACCAATTATGACTATTAAAATGTGATATGGTGCCATCGCAAATTTTTCCTGTCGAACTGGTTTTTGGAGTGAAAATTAAACCGGCCGCCATTTTGACCGGAAGTATTTATCATCTAGCCGAAAGTACACAAAATTAAGCATTTTTTAAGCCAAAATAACGATCAAATTGTTTATTATGTATACTAATCTTGGCTATTAATATGTGATGTGGTGCCATCGCAAATTTTTCCTGTTAAACCGGCGTTTGGAGTTATTACTAAAATGTTCGCCATTTTGACCGGAAGTAAATATCACCTAACTAAAAGTACACGAAATTTAGCATGTTAGGGTCAAAATGACGACAAAATTGTTTGTTCTATGTTTTTCCGGATATTTATGTCATGTAAAAAAGTCAACCGTGTTACAAATTAGCGGATTAAATGAAAGAACCGGAGATAAAAGCGGGCCAAAATGGAAAATGCAACTCATTCAAAGCAATTCATTTCAGTAGTGCATTTAAAACAAATGTGAAACAATGATTCACATTTTTAAGCATAGGAAAGGCCAAACATTCGAACAAATTAAACCAGCAAAAAACAGATTATTTCTTTTTACTTGGCTTATTGACCAACATCAATCTTCTTCTGACTCACAATATCCATACAAGGTCAAGAGATTAGGTTCTTAGAATTAATAAAATTATCACCTGAGAGAAAATGCTTTTCTCTCTTTTATCAAATTATCTCAACTTATTCTTTTAAGGAAATGTATAGAGACCAGTTTGAAGAACTAGTAAGAGTTAAAAGAGTTGATCCATTATTAACTAGAATGCAGAATGCTTTGCGGTTTTCAAAGTAATTTGAGGTATAATAGCTCCACCATTTTGTGTTATTGAGGAGTATAAATAACAGCCTTTGCATGTACATATTGGATTGAAATTGCTTTCACGATAACGTCTGCTCACTTCAAAGTTTACCATTTTCAAAAAGTTTCCGGGAAATCCGTTTGGAAGGTAAATGGGTCCCCTACTCAGCCTACTCTTTACAAACAGTGTCTGGGTTCTTTAACTTCCCACAGCATTTTATATGAACAAGGACCGTGAGAAGGGGCGTACAGGTTTTTTTAATTCCAATAAGACCAGAAAGACTAACCGTTTGGAGATGACATTAAAAAGGCAGCACTTCTCGTCAGTTATTTAAAGATCCTGATCGATAATTGGTCTGGCCGGGGTTTGAAACCGCGGCTTCCCGCTCAGTAGACCGGTGTTTTACCCACCTGGAGCTAACCAGGCGGCGGTTTAATTCAGCTGTATTTCATGATCACTATCAAGTGAATCTGCGCCTCTCTCGACCGAAGTAAGAGTTAGTCTCTAATCTTCAATGTAACCACCCCCAGAATGCCATTTAATCATCATGGACTGAGCAGCACTGACTATCATGCTAAAGTCCACATGCAAGAATCTAAGGAAAGAGCGTTTTCCGAATGTGCATCACTTACGCTAATCCCCTGAGCATGTAAAATGTATTCTCTTGGATATAGTACGTGACAAATATGTCGCGCCGAGAACGGCATGAAGACTAAGATCTGGGGTAAACGTGTATCAGGAGCTATACTAAGAAACTGGAAAAAGCTAGTTCTTTTGTAAAGATCGAAACAGGCGGGTGTTTTTTAGATTCCTTGCACATTGAGCAACGCATGTCGTCTAGGGCCAGACGTCCAGTCTTTTCCCTGCATCGTTTGAAGTCAATTCGCTAGAAAGCATTTATTGTTATGCTATATCACAAAGCAGATTCCCTTCTTTTAACTCTCTATGTTGTTTGTAACCGAGACATTTGCGTTGAGTCCACTCTCCGTTCTAACTACCCATGAAGCTTCTCTACCATGAAGCCAAGTTAGCTTCCTATCATATATCTTGGTACTAATGTACATCTACGCTACCTTGCACCCTACGAGATTGCTAAAGTGTTTACTAAAAAGCTGCACTTTCACTTCCTCCGTTCCATGCATTCACTGGATGTGACAAAGTTAGTACTTCTGGTCACCTCCAGAAATAATCGGAGTTGTTTTTGCTTACACGTTCTTCTATACGATAGAAAAAGTAGTTCTTTGCCGTCAACTGACGAAGCCAAAAGTAGTTTCTTTGACCCGGCCTGCATTACTTAAACATTTCAAGGGCACGCCGAACCATGCTGGCCACATATGGAGTCAGCAAGCACTGGTACCAAGCATCTCGGTTCCAAGTCTGCAAGATTGGGGCTGGATATTTCTAAGAGGAGAGTGTTGACTCTCCTGCTGAGGGTGGAACTAGTAAAGTACGCTCGTAGGAAGGGCTATGCCCCGAAGAGTGACAATCGTGAAAGGCGATCCCCAACTCTTTTTTCGATTACAGGCACTCGCCTGCATGAAGTATCAAGTCATTAGGTCACTGAGATACCATTTGCTCTTCTTCGATATTCCGTATCATAGCCAAAGTAGGCTGACGTTCAGTAATGGATTATACATGATGAAAATAGTAAATTGAACGTATACATTACATTTATAAAGAAAATATTAAAGTCAAGAAAACTAGCAGGCACAACAGAAGTTTATTAAGCTCATTCCTTAAAAGTTCCGACTTAGACTACGAGCAGTCTCTCTTTTTTCTGTAGTCCGTCGAGCAAAACGCGAGACACGCAAATGGCCATAAACCTGAAGAAAAAGAGAGACTGCTTGCAGTCTAGTTCCGACTCTGGTAGTTTTACTTCCGGTCTAGCTGGCGGCCACTTATATCATCTCTATTCTACTTTTTAGACAATTTGCGTTGAAATAATATCTCTTTGTATGAAAAAAACACCTGCCTTAGGCATTAACTGACATTTTCTTATCCAGGTTGCTAAAATTCAGACGTTTTGAAGAAAATGTTAATTTCACTTCCGGTTTAAAATGGCCGCCATAATAAAAAGTCCTATTTTTCGCACTTAACGGACTTTTTAGCGATGGCACCATATCCTATCTTTTTTAGGGCCTTGAAAACTATCATCATGCCAAATTTCATGCTTTTAACAGAAAGTGAACAATTCAAGCACATATCTGCTCTACTACTAGACCAAACGTTGAACTTTTTCATGAGTAAGAACCAAACTCTAACAGCAAGTGGTAACGTTTGCGCATGCGTCAAGCTTGCTGGGAGGCACTTGTTGACGGGAAATCGTAATGGCCGAAAGCTCTTCTGAAGCACTTTTAAGGGAGATTTTTTGAAAACCCAATGAACAGCAGACATGACTTATTGTTTGGATACTTTGGTTAAGCCATGTTGAAGTGTCATGTATGGCAAAAGGACCATTTAGCTGGTTAATTTTCATCCATTTGGCTCCTCTGATGAAGCAGATAAAGCGCTCACGAGGTCGTTTGTTGTGATATGTTGATTTGTTGACATTCAAGCGGTCACGGATTTCTCGGTTATCGTCCATGATCTGCAGAGCTGCCTAGTATTTAGGTAAGATATACCCCTTGATTTACTTTGTGAAATGTGGAGCAGCATCATCGAATGTTATGTGTTAAAATTATAACAGGCTGAATTCAACGTAATTTATGTGACGCCCATATTTCTGTAGTATTTGACCCTGACCGTACAGCGAGATCCAGTTATATATCCCACAAAAGCGACTAAACAGGTTAAACTTCTCTTTCGGTCACTCCATATTTTCACTTTTAATGGTTAATTCAAAGGGGGAAGTTCGAGTATTTTGATACTATTTAGCGGCATGAAATCAACAAGCAAATTTCCTACTCTTACAAGTAATGCCGTAGTCGGATGCTTCCTTCCATTTTAGAAAATTTGCTTTTCTGGTTTACATTGATGCTCTATGGCGATTACTTATTCTCAGAGATTAAGAGATCGAGGCGGTGGATCGTGAGATATTATTTGCGAAAACTTCGTTAAAGATAGACAAATTTTTCTTGTCCTTTTCAACCTTGTTTTCAGATTTTTCGTGAACATGTAAAAGTATATCCCAACAAAACGTATTTGTAAAAGCATTGTTTCAGAACACTCTTTCATTCTTGAATGTTTGATTTTGCATCCAAGGGGGGCGAACACTGATGAATTTGCGTTTTAATAATCATGCACTGTAAGCTCTCAGATTCATTGACAAGAACCCTCACCATTTGGAAGATGATTTTATTCTGATAATTATTCCATGATGATTTGTTTATACATACAGAATTGGCGCCAAAAAGAATTTTAATGTTATGCTTAAAATGTTTACATAATGTCTTGAAACATAACTGAAATCAATAAAAAATATGAAAATACACATATGTGCATTCTTTTCCCTGCCCTACTACAAAATATGATAAGTGTGATTGAATGCATTTTCATATGACCATTACAATATTACTCCCACTTTGACACTAGTACAAGTTCAAGCACAAAACAATTCTTGTCCTTGTTCAGCTTAGCACTTGCTGGACTGCCATTCCTGTTTGAAGTACAGACAACACTGGACATGAAATCTCTGAATTTGATTCCTTGCATTGGCATCCACATAAGAATTAGCTCCATCACATACAATGTTCCTGTATGCTTACAAAAATCATAAATGTCATTATTCCTTTTCTATCCAAAAGTTTTTTTTTTTTTCTTCTTGAATATAAATTTGTATCCATGACACTTTAGAAAATTATCCTGAATATCTAAAGGGGTATTGCTAGTTGTGGGCAACAACAAAAATGCCATAGGGGTAACTTTTCACTCTCCGATAGAAATAATTCTTTTGATACTCTGGGTCTCATATATTCAGTGTTTGTGCACATGAATTTAGGAGCACTTGGCTTGCCAATGTCACTTTGGCTGTGTATACGCAGTAGTAGTGTATATAGTCATCTATCATAGGCTGCACAAGTTGCAATTTATGTAAAATTGCCCCTGAAACAAGCTCATTGATGCTCCTGATGTTGCAAGATGACAAGTTATGAACAATTTCATTCGCCTTTTGCCTGTTGCAGGAGCTCCCTGTGAGATGCTCAGCACTAAACCTTGTTGATTCAGGTGATAGTCCTTGAGGACGACTGCATTGTCACATTCAAACCAGTAACTGTTGCACTTTTCACTCAAGCCATAGCAGAGCTGGTACAAAATGGCGACTATCTGTTTTTTATTTAACCCTATGCTGTCTGCAGAATGTGAAGGGTCTGTCACTCCATCCTGAACTGCATCAAATAGCCTTGGTGCCCCAGAAGACACACAGACAAGCTTTAATTTTATTAAATCATACATTGGCTAACTTGAAGCTACCATAAACTCAGACTTTATAAACATCAGGCTTTAATATAATCTTAAGTTCTCCTCATGTTGAAATTGAATGAAAAGGAAAAGTTAGAACTAATTTTTTCTCATTTTCATTTTTTTAAATCTTCAAATCCTAAGAGCTTGGCCCCAAATAGATGTGGGCTAGTCAAGGGAGCTAAGCCTTATTAGTTATATATTAAATAATTAACACATGTGCAGTAGAAAATACCAACAACAAAATTTATGAAAAGCAAAAACGAGTGCAAGCATGGAAGTAGCAGAAGCAGAAAATTCACTTCAATATCTCAGAGAGAAAATGCAGTTTTAGATGTGACTGTGATCTTTACTATTTTAAGTATTGTCACTGTTGTGTGCATATTTGCAATTTTCTAGTATGTAGAAGTGTGGGGAGTAAAGGGAAGGATTTTTCATGGTTAGGGTTACCTCAATAAAACACTAAAACAGTATAAGGGGCATCTTGGAGTCAAGAGCCTCCATACTACAAAATTCTTCCTACACCCCTGAATACGTTAAGGCATCACATACATTTGATAGATGTCATTTCTAGAGTTTGGGTCTTTAGTTTTATATCATCTAGTCAAAAATTTCAAATTTCATACCCCTGGGTGGGCTATCAGTCGCAGAATTAGGGCACTGCACCTGGTCTGGACACTGGTGGTTGGGGTGGGGTATCTCTGAAAAGTAATCACTGGCAGAATCACTGCCCTGAGGTTGCACATCTCTGAGCAACAGGGCATTCCTGAACCATAACTGACGTGAAATCGTATTATTGCAAGGAGATTGTAAAAAGAACGGCAATTATGACTATATAAACAGACTAGCATTTAGAATTGTTTTTCACAGCGTTTTATTCAAATCTTAAGTGTCGGACGTTTTGTACTCGGTCACAACTTACATGAAGAGGTTTTTTCCCAGTTATCCAGTGTTTAATAGAGGAGTTTTGCAACTGTTACGCAGAACCCCATCTAAGCTTGACGTGTCAGCGCGCAAGCCAAAACACGAAACAATATCACTCATGGACAACAAACCGCGCAAAATTGTGAATGATCTGCGACTTATTAGCCTTGAGACCAATCTCGCATATTACACAGAAGACTTTGTCTTATCTGCACTCCACAAAGATAGAACATATGACTAAGACGATGGTAATTTTGAAAAGAGGCGCCATTTTTCTTTGCTGCATTCGCTGCGATCCAATACCACAACAAACTTCCGTCCAGCGGCTCGCACATACTCGCAACGTTACCACTTGATGTTCCAAACTCTAATTTGGGTCTACCTAAATTTGGTTAAGATCGTCTGTTGGGTCAGACGTCTACTTAGGAGGCGTCAAACCAATCAACTGAATAGATCTATTCGGCTAACTCAATATTGTACCCGTTTCAAATCTCCCGGGGTTGAGAGTCTTTGTGTGTTGTATTTGCATTATGTTGTGGCATTCACATTTAAATTATATGGAAATTCCTGAAACAAAACGTTTTATTCCCAAAGGGTTTGAATTGGGTACAACATTGAGTTAGCCGAATAGGTCCATCAGATCAGTAACAAATTTTTCTTCCGATCGAGGCTAAATATACATCATCATTCAAATTTTCAATTTATCAGTTTAGTTGGTCGCATATGAAGATCGACCTTTTTGTCCGGAGACGATCTTTAGACGTTCTATCCTTCTGGAGCAGACAGACGTGTTTGACGATCCAGACTCATTCAGACGAACTTAACTTAGCCAGACGTCACATTTTTTCATGAACTTAACCCAAGTGTGGTTTCGTCTCATGAAAAGTTCGATGTAACCTAGGCCTAAGTTGGGAATAGAGGAATAAGAAAAGAGTAGTAAGATGGGGTGGGACGAGATGAGATGATAAAGGATGGAAAGAGTCTTAATGAATTATGACGAGACACAATGGGATAGGAGGAGAATTAAGGACAAAGATGAGATGAAGTAATGTGAGACGGGAAAAGATGGGATATGCGATGAATGATTTTGCTAAGAAGAAAAGGACACAACAAATACGAGATGTGATTAGATGAGACAAAAGATAGCACCAAGTGGATTACGTAATAAGACAAGGTAGATTAATCAATCAGGTAAAAAAAATAAGATGAAATTATTAATAGTAGTGCCGTCTTGGAGGTGCCATAAGGTGGAGTTAATAGGGAGCTTTCGCAGCGACGACGGCTACCGCAACAGGACCGTCCAAAAGCTCTAGGTTTGATCAGCAAAACAACAACTCTGTAGGTGCATATCCCCTTTTTGTGCACTTCTTTGCCATCACTGCATGACTACGAGAGGAAATTCCCCAAGCGACAGTTTATGGAGGACGTAAACACAAGACGACAAGTTTCTCTCCCTCTTTCTCTCTCTCTCTCTCTAACTCTAACCTTGGGTGCGGTCCCCAAGAATTCACTTCAGGGAAATTCACCCACATTTGAGCTTCGAAACCCGCAGAAAAGTTTGCAAAAAAGCAAAGTTTTTTTTTCAATACTGACGTTTCCACTGCCGTAGCCGTCGCCGTTGTAAGAGCTCCCTTATAATCATCATTCAGGGTGGTAATGTGTGAGGTAGAAGAAGTGGCTTGGTTTGAAGTACTCAGTGGCTGATAGTGCAGTTTAGGCCTCCTCTATTTTAATGTGCATTTGTGTATTAGGAGCTCATCCAAAATGCCGAGGATGCAGGAGCAACTCAAGTGAAATTCCTCCATGACCTGCACAGCTATGGAACAGAAAAACTGCATTGCGAAGGACTTGCCCAGTTCCAGGTAATCTGTGAATACCCGATGTAGTAAGCAATTCCTTATTACCAGATATGACTAAATTGTTTGCTATAACTGTCATGAGTCAGATTTAAGTACGAGACATACTGGCAATGCAACTCTAAGTTATAACCCGTGACGCAGGCGTCACGCAAACGGACAATTTCCCTATTTTTTATTTATTAAAAAAAAAAAAACAGCAACATAGATTATTCTTTCATGTCTAACTCAGTAAAACTGCTAAGTTTCCTAAGGATTCGTCGGAAACTAACGGAAAAAATATATCCTTGGCAGGAAATGTATTGCGTCTGCACGCCATATATGTCCTTGTAAAATCCCCCATGTTGGAGGCCCAACATGGGGGATTTTTACTGGGGGGTATCTATTCGTTTTCGACAAATCCTCATGAAGTTCGCAGACTTATTAAATTTCACATTATAAACTGATCTTAAGAGGTGTTTTTGGGTCTATATTAACAATACGAATAATTTCAAACATTGCGTGCATATGAAAAAAACTCCTCAGGTCTTAAAGTCCGCTCCGTGAGGTTTTCTTTGTACGGATGGTGTTTCATATATCATTTTATAAATGATTTCCTGCAGGGCCCAGCACTCTACGCGCACAACAATGCCACGTTCACCAAAGAGGACTGGAAAGGAATCAGGATGCTCTGTGACAGTATAAAAGTCAAAGATCCGATGAAAGTTGGTCGGTTTGGCCTCGGTTTCAAATCGGTGTTTCACCTCACAGGTGAGATAATTATTATGTATTTATCAGAACTCGACTGATCATTTTGTAATTATGGCAGCAAAAGAGTTTTGTGACACTGGCTTTTTAAGAAAACCATCTAAAGGTTTGAAATTTTGGCGGCACATGTTAGAAAAACATCCGAGACAATTTTTGCGATCCATTGAAAAAAGAAAATATTTCCTAATATCACTAGGGGGCAAATTACGCTAGCAATCGTGAGGTAATGTATCGAAAAGTCCACAAACTGAAGCTTGCAAATACAGCCGTTTCTCCTGCCCGCTGGGGACACTTCGCAGAACGTCCTTAGATGCGAGCTAGGTGCAAAGAGAGACGGCTACATTCGCAGGCTACACAAACCAATAAGATTAGAGCAACCATTTTGGCTTAAGTTCACAAGGGTCTGAATTTTTGAACAAAACATTATTATTAAATTATTCTTTCCATGTATAAACGGTGATCGTTCGATTGTTTAGGTTTCCTACAGCGTCTTGTAATGGCTGCCCTAACATATTTATTTGTAGGATACTTAAACGTGGACGCTGAGATTGCGGTAACAATTTTTTTCGCTCCAAAATTATCAAGTAATTTGTCGTCCGTGATATTATACCCATTACTTTGTATACTTCATTTATCTTTAGATCTACCGAGTATATTAAGCGGTTCACAAATCGGTGTTATAGACCCACACGAGGAGTACTTTACCGAAGGGAGAAATCGACGAACAGGTTACAGCTGGAAAGTAAATGACAATCGTCACGTCATGGACAATATACCAGACCAATTCGCGCCTTACAATGGAGTATTTGATAGCAAAGACGATGTTTTCTCCAGAGGCTGGTACAACGGTACTCTTTTTCGCTTTCCACTACGACGCCGTCCCTCTGACCTTTCTCAGACTCTCTATTCCGCTGAAAAGGTACACACATTATTTGAAGGATTCATGGCTGACGCACACTTGATCCTCCTTTTCCTGCAACATCTGGAATCTATAGAGTTGTACGTCCGTGGAGAGTACGACGATCAACCAAGAAAAACGTTTCAAGTTCGAATCACAGATGAAAGCCTTCATTTGGTACGAGAAAGGAGGAAGGAGTTTCACAACAAGATCTCCACTGGCAGGCTTTTGCCCCATCCTGTCCAAGTAAGCTATCCGATCACGGTTGTGACTGCGCACTTTTCGCAAGGCTCAGAAACCACACAGACTCATTCGTTTCTTGTAACCAACTACTTTTGTGGCCAGGAGGTGTCATCTGACTTTCAAAGCCTGGCCAAAGATCTTAGCTACTTACCCTTAGTTGGTGTGGCTATGGCACTCGAGCCTACCCCAGCGTTTAAAGGCCACGTGTTTTGTTTCCTACCGTTACCAGTACAAAAAACAAGCCTTACAGGTTTGCCGGTTCATGTGAATGGCTTCTTTGCCTTGAGTCAGAACAGAAGTTATATCAAGTTTCCAAATGCAGAACAAGAGGATCAGGAGAGCAACGGTCGTCCGTTAACTGACAAGTCACTCATATGGAATAGGTATCTTTTGGAGGAGGCTCTACCCAAAGCATATGCAGCGATGCTACTAGAAGCCATCAACGAAAACAGCTACAATATACAAGAAGAGACCGTTTACAGGTAAGTTTAAAATGCACCGCTTCTGAAATGAGATACCTTAGTTTCTTTATTGGCGCAAAAGGGAAAATAATTGCAAGAAAGTGGCATTACTTTAGCTAGTTCTCCCTTCATGCCTCACTCTTCTGCGTAGTACGGCTACAAGTACTTGGAACATAGAGTACAATTTTTTTTTTTCTATTAACTTGACCTGTACATTCTAATATTTGGAATGTAAGAACGTTTTTAGCCGCCTATTCAGCAAAATAGGTTGGTTCAGGGTTTTGCCATGTTTATAAGCCAAACATTTTTGCCGTCAATATTGACATATGGTCTTAGGTTCCGGGTGCAAATAGTGCATGAACTGATTGCAGATTTCGTATACTGCATTCTGTAGGGCATGGCCTAATATCGATGCCATCGATCAAAAATGGAAGAGATTGCAGAATCCGTTGCTCCAGACCTTGTGCTCGGCAAATGTCGTATACACTAAAGCTAGTGGGGGAAAGTGGCTTAAAGTGGAAGACGCTATCTTAGAGAGACTTGAAGAACACCAGCCGAAGGAGTTGCTCGTCAACGTGTTACTAGAAGCACATCAAAATGTTGCCACTTTACCTGCCTACGTGTTAAAGGCATTTACCGCCTGCGGTAAACCAGTCATCAACGAGATTACTCCCATGTTGGTTAGGCAAATCCTCAAGCAAAGTCCTTCAAGCTACAGGAACCTTGGGCGAATGGAAAAGTTGAACCTTTTATCGTTCATCATAAACTGTACAGACGAGAACTTCGCAGACCTAATTGGAGTGGAGCTGCTGCCCGTATCCAGTGGTTCCTTTAAATACTTTGCATCCTTCTCAAACTGTGATGAAGCAGTGTACGTCTGTTCACCCGATCATCCAAGAAAAATGTTTCCTTGTCTAGACCATCAGTTTCTGGATCAAGACCTGGACCAAAGTCTTTTCGAAATTTTGCAGAAAGTTGCAAAGAAAGGTATGAGCGATATAAAAATATTTTGGAATTACTAAAAGCTATTTTGTCTACTTCAGCCAAGATAATCTAGAAGTAATTCCACTACTTGGCGAATTAAAGTTATATTTAGCTCTAAACTTCTCAGGGCATTGAGGGAGTTTTTACAGTATTTCGTTATTACTAACCAATAGCTTTCTTTTGAATGTACTCAGAAACTACTTCTTCCTTTTTTGCATTGAGTTATAAATCAAATCAAGGAAATAGAAAGAAAGACTATCACAGCCGGCGGCGTGTGACAGTGTTGACCTCAGACTAGAATCTCTATTGCTTTAACGTGGTTACTGAATTCAAAGAAACATGCTTTTTGGTACTTTAACGAATTCTACACGAGCAGTGATTGGTCGTAAACATCCAAAGGCGACATAGCATAGAAATTGGCGCACAGATTTGAAAACGTTAGGAAGCTCTTGTGTTACTTAATGTTCTACTATAATTGAACATCATTTGGGATTTATAGGGGTACAGCACCGTAAAGTAGTATCTACACGATAAGCATAGTCTTCCTTGACGATGCAGGTACCTAACATGTTATAGCGCTAAGCTCGGTGTAACGAGCAGTTTTCGGGGGCCATCTAATTGTGCGATTTTTTCCTGCTATTTTAGCTTGATCCATTTGCTATTTATGGGAAATTAGTATTTTTTTCATCAACGTCTTTAACAATAAACTTACGCTCATTGCTTGTAGATAAATATGTTGGAGAAAAACGTGCCGCCCAACCAATCACGCGATAAACTCGCCCCTGAATCTTAAACGGCATTTCAGATATGCGCTGTTGAAACCTTCAAAATGTGACGTGCATTTTAAGTGGGGGCTACAGTGAAAAAGAAATTATTTCCTTTACTGTTTAAATAGGATGCACCCAGTTAAAGCTTCTTAGTGGAGACGACGTGGCTTCCCTTCTTTCAAAATCGTTGCCACCAGAGTGGTCACAAGACGAAAAAATTTTATGGTATCATGGATCGCATTCCCACAACCATCCAGGATTCGACTGGCTTGAGCTCGTTTGGAATTACTTAAGGACGAAATTTGCTACAAACGATGGGCTCCGCGGGTTCACAGGTCTCCCCTTGATTCCACATGACATGTCACAAGTACCAATCAGCCTTGCTAGACTTCAACATCCTTCTAACATAATTGTGAAAAGTCTCTACGATGAATTTCTCGACGAAACGTTGCTGCAGTCCTTGAAAGACCTTGGTCTAGTTATCATTCAAGAGTGTCCATCGTACATAACCCTTCATCCCGCTGTCATCAATGCATTTATTTACCCGCCATCACCACATGGTGTCTTGAAGGCGCTATCGGCTTGTTCATCGGTTGTAGAATCTAACAAGCATTCACTGACAGACGAAGGCAAACGGTCCTTAAGGAAGTTCTTTTCCAAAGAATCGTCGCTAGAACCTCAAGCAAAGCAGCTTCTCCGTACCCTTCCTTTGTTTGAGACGTTAAACAAATCTTTTGTTTCTGGGGAGCAAGATCTTTGTGCAGCTCCACCAGAAGGTTCTTATCCCGCACATCCGCGCAGGGATCTGATCGACGTCACAGATGATGACTCGAAGAAGTTGGCGCATCTACTAGACATCAGATGTTTATCACCGATAGAGTTTTTTCTCGAAGTTGTATTTCCAGATGTCAGAGGAGGGAATTATTCTAACGCAGAGATCGACAGGATTATGGAATTCGTTATGGAGCGGTTTCAAGTTTACGCCAGTGAAGATGCTCGATTTGAAGAATCGCTTGCAAATTTGCCATTTGTACTGAGTAAAAATAGACGGGCAAGAGCTATGGACCTTTTCGATCCGGGGATTGCGTTGTTAAAACGAATGCTGTCCGAGGAAGATGTTTTTCCTGTTGGTGAACAATATACAAACCCCGCCACCCTAATAGTTCTGAAGAAACTTGGTATGAAGAGTGAAAAGCAAATTAGCGCAGACGATCTATACCGCAGTGCCAGAAAGATCTCCCAAATGTCAAATTTGAAGGAAGCAAAGGAAAAATCGGCGGCCATACTAGTATATTTAGAGAGCAATTCAACAAAGCTTCAACAAACTGTTTCTGGGGTAACGTTGAAACAACTTTTGCGAGACGTTCCATGGGTATCCGAAGTAAAAGAGAGGCCCTTCGGTGTTCCTGCTAGCCTTTACAAAACTGAGGAATCTAGCATACCCCACTTTTATAAGCCCACGGAAGTTACATGTGAAGATAAAGTTAATCTCATCGGAACAGTGACGCCCATTGTAAGAGTAGATTCTTCAAGTCAACTGGCAAAATGTTTCGGCTGGGATAAGATGCCACATGCATTGGACGTGGTGCAACATTTGAAAACCGTGGTCACTCACTATACTCCGGACGAAAAGCATTACTACATTTCAATTGTCAAGGACATCTACTCATACCTAAATCAGGTCGCAGATCCTGAAGTTATCAAGGAAGCTTTGCAGGGAATTGAAAACTCGAGCTGGGTTTGGAATGGAGATGGTTTTTGTTCTCCTGATGTTGTTCTTGCTAAAAAGCCTCCGATTGATCTTACTCCGTATATTTGTTCGCTTCCCTCAGAGGTGATGCAGTTTTCAAACTTTTTTTCGAAGTTTGGAATGAGAGAGCACTGCGATGATCTGTTTTTTGTACATGTTCTTCACCTGATTAAACGGAAGTATGAATCTGGACACGAGTATCCGAAAAAAGAGGTGAAAAGAGATCTGCAGTTATCTGCAGACATCTTGAACGAGATTAAACCAAAAGAAGGAGAAAAACTACCTAGAGAAATTCAAGAAAAAGTCCTTATTCCAACGCACGTAGAAGGAGATTCCTACCTGAGGCTTGCACCAGTTAAAGATTGTATGTACAGTGACCGTGAGTGGCTAGAAGATGGCACACCTGCTGAAGAAGAAACGGATTGCTTTTTCGTGCATCCAAACATCCCACATAGTACTGCGGAACTTTTACAGGTTCGCACGCGTAGAAATCAATTGCTAGAAGCTGATGAGATAGGAGATGAATTTGGTCAGGAGGAGAAACTTACTCGCAGATTAAACAGACTTCTGGAGGAATACACAGATGGCTTCTCTGTGCCAAAGGAACTAATTCAGAACGCAGACGATGCTGGTGCCACTGAGGTCAGGTTTCTTTACGATGAAAGAACTAACGAAGATGCTATGACCTGTCTGATTGACGAAGGAATGAAAGAATGTCAAGGTCCTGCTTTGTGGGTTTACAACGACGCCGAGTTTAGGAATGAGGATTTTGAAAACATTGTTAAACTTAATGGTGGCACAAAGGAACAAGAAAATGAAAAAATTGGAAAGTTTGGTCTTGGCTTTAACACAGTCTACAATCTGACGGACGTTCCTATGTTTCTTAGCAGAAACTATTTTGTAATTTTTGATCCCAACACCTTTTATCTTGGAAAAGCGATCAGAAAAAAAAGCAAGCCAGGAATAAAAATAGACGTCAACAAGAACCCGGAGAAAAAGCGAAAGTTTAGGAACCAATTTAAACCTTTCAATGGCATCTTTGGTTGCGATCTTCACCTGAACAAACCTGACAACTCATTCCCAGGAACCCTTTTTCGATTCCCTTTGAGAACCAAGGAACAAGCCATAAGAAGTGAGATTAAAGCCGTTCATTACGACAACGACCAAATGCGAGAGCTATTAGATATTTTCGTGCGTGGAGCCAAACATTTGCTCTTATTTACGCAAAATGTCTGTCAGCTAAGTATATTCCATCTGCCTAGAGAATCAACGGAAGAGACACAACCTAAGCTGATGTTTCAGGTTACCAAGTCATTATCAAAAATAGGAATCATTAGAGAGTTGACCGTACCCCTTGTCCTCTCACGACATTTAAGGAATGTTAGTACGGATGTTCTGCACCTCATAAAACAGTGCAACGTTCTACGAGCATCATCAGAAGTTGCAAGGCATGCTGGGGGCGTCAAGGAAATCAATGGCAGTTTACTGAAGTCAGCCTATACAGTCGACATAACAAGCAACGTTGCCGAACGTGGACGCTCCTTTTTCGAGGACAAAAGCGAAATAAAAAGTGTATCTGAAGTTTGGTTTGTTGCATCGTCAATGGGCCGAGGCCAAGCATTTAAATTTTCAGTGAATGATAAAAGCCTTCTTCCAGCAGCTGCAGTGGCTGTGCAGTTGATACCTCAAGAGAGAGAGACGTTTCTACCAGAACCTGTTGGCGGTATAGCTGCTGGAGGTAAATCGCATCACAATGGAACAGTGTTTTGCTATCTTCCACTTCCAATTCACACTGGTCTACCTGTGCATATAAATGGAGCATTCACAGTAGACTCAAGCAGACGCCATTTGAAGGAGAAGACCGAGGATGACAAAACCTGCGTTGGGGTAGAGTGGAACAATGTTCTTTTGAAGGATTGCGTTTGTGCGGCCTATCTAGACCTTCTGGAAGACATGAAGGCAGCTGCCACTATGTACTCTTTTCACTCTTTGTGGCCTAGGGAGCATGACGTAGAACGATGTTTTGAGCCACTTGCCCGTTCATTCTATGAAAAAGTTGCCAGTGGAGGTTTCTGCCTTTTTTCAGATGGAAAAAGATGGGTGGACATCAACCAAGTAGTCTTTCTGGAGCCACACTTTCGTCATGATCAACGTGTTGGAGACATATCGTTTGCAGTACTACAGATGCTGGTCCACGAAAATAAAGTAGTCATTGACCTTCCAGTGGATGTGTTGAAATCATTTGTGAAGTACGGTCTCAAGGAAAAGATCCAGTGTAAAACCTACGACAAGAGTAGGTTTTTCACTGAACTGTTTTTCCCAAACATTCATTCTGTACCGACCGAAATGCGTGACGAATTGGTCCTGTTTGCATTGGATGATTCACAGGGAGAATTTGATGAATCGATTAACGCCTATGCCTGTATTCCAGCTTCACCCCATGGTAGAAATCTTAAACGCCCCAACGAGCTTGTTAACCCAAACAAGGCGGCAGCTTCGCTTTTTCTTGATAAAGATGAAAGGTTTCCGTCAGGGACTACTAAAACCTTCCTCGATTCTGTACGACTTGCTAAACTTGAACAGCTTGGAATGGTGGCAGATGATCCCCCTTGGGTGTTATTTGAAGAAAGAGCAGATAGTGTCAGCGCTTTGAACAAAGAAAGTAGTAAAGCAGCTGTACAGCGCGCCAAAGTTTTAACGAATCTCTTAGAAAGAAAGCTTTACCTTGGCATAAACGACAAAGTCCCAGAACAAACCCATAAGAATCTTTTGCAAATCAAATTTTTTCCAGTCGCCACAAAACCAGAAGGTTTTCCTCTTTTCTGGAAAGGAGGCCATTTTCGCCCTGAGAAAGGAGCACAACTGGTGTCAGCTAAGGAAGGTTATCTTCAAAGCATGAAGTATCTTGTTTGCTGTTCTGAACCACTTGTAGACGTCTATGTTCCTTCAAACGTTAAAAAGTTCCTACAGTTGGACAAAAATGTCACTCTTGAGCACATTGTTGCCCAACTCGACGTCGCCTCCAGTACAGACGACAGCTTGAATTCAGTCCAGTTTGAAACAGTGAAAGCAGTCTGTTTAGAAGCTTACAAGAACCTGCAGGCAGCCTTAAATAATGAACAAATCGACGAAAATCAAGTGAAAAGTATTTTTCAAGATAAAAAATTCATTCTTGCTGGAAGAGAATTTGTTGATACAAAACATGTTGCTTTTGAATTACCTTTCGACTGCCGTCCGTACCTCCATAAGCTGCGTGACGACCTCGCAAAACCATTTTGTAGCTTGATGAAGAGAGCTGGGGTGAAAGAGTTCTATGAGGCCAGCGACTTCGTCACTGCTTTGGAAGAAATGAAAAGAAAGTTTGACGACGCAGCACTGGAGGAGAAAAACCTTCAGGTTGCCGTTCATCTGGCCTGCCAACTGGGTGAGTGCCTTTCAGATTGTGATGCAGCTGTTAGCAAGCAACAAACAATTTATATTCCTGACTCTCAAGGTATAATGCAACCTGCGAGTAAACTTTGCATTCAAGACTGTCTCTGGATTTCTGATGAAAATGATGTTTACTATGCGAACAGCATGATTCCCCATCCAATATGCCGTACATTGGGAGTAAAAACACGCCGAGCAGAAGCACTCAGCCGCTTTGCATTTGGAATTCCGTTTGGACAAAAGGAAAAGCTGACAAATCGATTACAGCGCCTACTTCAAGCCTACCCATGTGAAAAAGAAATTTTGAAAGAACTTCTTCAGAATGCTGATGATGCAGAGGCAACAGAGATCTGTTTTATTAAAGACCCAAGACGACATCCAGATGAACGTGTTTTTGAGGACTCATGGAAACCACTTCAGGGTCCTGCATTATGCGTGTACAATAACAAGCCATTCACTGAAGTGGATATCAAAGGAATACAGAATCTTGGGGAAGGAAGCAAAGGCGATGACCCCAACAAAACTGGTCAGTACGGCGTGGGTTTCAACGCTGTTTACCACTTGACTGACGTCCCTACATTTTCCTCAAGTGGTGACGAGATTGGAGATGTTTTGTGTGCTTTTGATCCAAATTGCACTTACGTACCAGGAGCGAATCAGTGGGAACCAGGAAGGATGTTCAAGGAGACAACAAAGCTGAGAAGAAATTTTCCAGATGTTTTTTCCTGCTATAATGATGACCATTTCCCCTTACGAAACTCTACTATGTTTCGGTTTCCACTAAGAACTGAAGAGATGGCAAGCCATTCTAAAATATCCGACCGTCCTGTAACACTTGAAAAATTGACAGAAATGATGGAATCATTAAAAGGAGAGCTTTTTGAGGTTCTCTTGTTTGTTAACAATGTTAGAAAGATCACCTTGTGTGACATCGACGAGAATGGAGAAGTGGTGAATTCGTACTTTGTCAAAGCTGAAATATCAGAGGAGGATTCACTGGTAAGACAGTCGTTTTCTACTTACGTGAAAGATATTGGAGGGTCAGTGAAACAAAATGGCAGCGAGTCACCTATAGAAGCCGCAGTTAAAACGTGCTCCTATGTTCTTAACCTAGAGGATAGTAGTGGCAACAAGGAAAGGTGGCTAATTGTCCAGCGAATCGGCTTCGAACGCAAAGTGAATGACAGCATCATCGATGCTTACCAAAACCATGATCTTGGCATGCTTCCTCGAGGTGGTGTAGCTTGCTTGTTGCAACGCAAATCCGTTGAAAATGAGCCAGTGCAAAGAACGAAGAAGGTGTACTGCTTTCTTCCGCTTCCTATCGAAACGAATCTTCCCGTGCATATTAATGGTCACTTTGCATTAGACCACGAGGCAAGAACAAACTTCTGGAGAAATGAAAGTGGTGGCTACAAACGTGACTGGAACAATGTCTTGATGAGTGATATCATAACTTCATGTTATCTCACACTTCTCGACAAAGCGAGGAGCTTTTATCACCTGCCAGTTACGCATACCTCCGAAGAAGTTACTGTCAGCTGTAGTAAAGACTGGTTAGCAGCTAATGTAGACATCTTTGAGAGGCTGTTTCCCTCTATGGCTCAAGGCAATCCGTATCTGATCACTTTGGTTAAATCTGTCTACCAGGAAATGGACCGCAAGTGTTTACGATTTCTTCCAGTATTGCGTGACAACACTTCAGAGGACTCTACTCCCATTTGCCAGCTCGCCTGGCTTCCTCTAACTGGGAATGGGAAGGACAAAGCGTTCTTTAACTGTCTAGGGGAAAACGATTGTTTCAGTGCTGTTCAAACACGAAGATTCAGTGAGAGTGAGAACGAAATGGAGCGTTTAAACGCGAAAAGGGCTTCGTTTGAAGAAATTCTGCTTCAAACTGGGTTTAATCTGGTGACATTTTCTTTGTCAGTATTCAAAGAGGCACAAGAATCAGGTGTACGCCCTTGCTGTGTTTCCCCTTCTGATGTAATAGAGTTTTACAAGTCTTTTAGTGGTGAGATACCTCTGTGCAAAGTTACTTCACTATATGTTGATGTCAAGGATACCCCATTCAAGAATGTTGAAACTGTGACAACAATACTTACCTATTGTAAAGACAGCGACAAGTTTCTGGAAAAGCTATCTGGCCTTCCATTACTTGTCACACAGGATAATCATCTGCACGCCTTTAGCACTATTGATCCCAAGTTTCTTTCCCGTCATCACGGGATCCTTCCACAGTGTAAAGAAATGTTTGTCCATGACCATGTTAGGATAAATATCTTTGGTAAAGCGGAGAGTCTAAAAGCATCAGTTTTTACGCGTTTTGATGTTAACAGCTTCGCAGCCAACTTACATCGAACGCTACCGCAAGGGTATATTAACAGTGGGAAATACGTGGAATGGAACCCAAATCAAGCCATAGAGCCAAATTTTGAATGGGTTAACAGAGTGTGGAAATTCCTAGCCGAAGCGATAGACGATGCCCTCAGTGAGTGGAAAAGAAAGCAAAAAGAGATTTCCAGAAACAACCAAGCAGTCAACGAGAGTGTGGTGTTACAGCCACTCAGTAAAGAGGAAGAAACCCGCATCATTCGAACAGTACTCGAACCTTTGGCCCAATGGTGCATTCTCCCATGTACAGAAACGGCAAACAGTCCTAGGGAAATAAGTCCTTCTGGAGTGCAAGTGAAACAATACCTGCTACCCTTGAGTCTGTCAGAATCTGTAATTCATTTACCGTCCCATGATGCCACAAATAGGGAAGTTGTGGACGTATTACGGTTGGTTAATTTGCCTGAACTTAATGGGCGTGTTTTGCTATCAACAAGTGCTACACATACGCTGCCAAATTCCTTCCGATATGCTTGTCGGTTGGTGGCCTCGATTGATTCACCAAAACTAATCCTGAAAGCACTGGACGCGAAGATGACCAGGGACACGCACTCTCTTCATGGAAAGTTGAAAGCAACTGAATGTCGCACCATTTTGGGGTATTTTAGCAAAAATGTGAAAGACCTGTCAGAAGGAGATAAGAGACCCTTAAAAAGACTTCCCTTTTACGGGGCCATACATGGTGGACTCTTGAGCATAGATGACAACAGCGTCTGTGTAGTTCCTGTAGACGTTCCAAGTAAAGGAATGGAAGTTTTAGAAAGCGTGAGTGATGTCGTGTTTCTGAAGTGGTGGTACGGCCTTTCTGACTTGCAAAAATTTCTAGAATTTGAATCCACCTCATCGGTTGATATGTATTGCAAGTTCATTTTGAAGTTCTTTCATGTCTTCTCCAGTGAAGCAAGGCTAGTTCATCTTGAGCACATCCGTGACAGAATTTTGAACCAAGTATTTGCTAAGGAGTATGACAAGCAGCGATTGTTGTATTGTCTAGAAAGTACAAATATCATTCCTTCTGGAGACGGTACCTTAGTGAAGGCAAACTGTTATTATAATCCAGAGAACGAGGTGTTCAAAGCTTTGCTTTCAGATGACCTGTTTCCGCCAGAACCCTTTAACAGTGAGGAATGGCTGCCGTTTTTAAAACGTATCGGATTGATTCACGAAATTTCTCAAGATCTTTTCAAGATGTTTGCTCTGAAAATCGCAAACGAAGCCGTTACACAGCCCACGGAGAACACTGAGTTGAAGTCAAAAGTCCTTGTTGCACACCTGTTCAAGAGGAGCAATGTTGTAGAAGAAGGCCTTCTTGAAGCTATCTGCGATATTAAGTTTGTCCCTTCAGACCCTGTCAAGCCAAACCTTCGAGCAATATATCGACCATACGGTGAACGACATGACGGTAAGCCAACTTACATTTCTTTCCGCGGTTCTGTAGTAGCAAAGCATGCCAAAATAGTTTGGACAACGGCTCCTCTTCTTCCTCAATGGGCAAATCCGAGGGAATATCAGTATCTGATGCATGCACTTAATTGGAGCAATATGGATCACTACTGCTACGCAGCAATGGAAAAGCTAGGAATTCTGGCAGAGCCAACTGTAACGCTTGTTACATCGCACTGCCAAATTGTGTCGACCCACTTAGAAAAAGAAAATGATAGAGACCTGACTGCGGATCAGATGACCACAAGAATGTCAGTCATGATGAAAATCTACAGATTCTTGAAAGCTAAGGCTACCTCATCTGCTTTTGGAAAAGACCAACTGAGACACACACCATGTATTTTAGTTGAAGAAGGCAGGCGTCTCGTAAGAGTTCACCAAATAGTTATTGAACTAAACAAGGAATATGAGATTCAGCCATACCTCTACAGGGTACCAGCAGAGCTTGTTCAGTTTGCGGGCTTGTTTCAGTATTTGGGCTGTGCTTCTGTAGTGAATATATCTCATTTCGCTATGGTCTTAGATATGCTGAAACAGAAACGTAAGGAGAAACAACTAGATCCCAATGAGAAAATGTGCGCTTTAACAGCTGAAAGAGGTATTTTTGAAGCACTTAAAGATCATTCGAACGATGGCCAAAATTTGCCCTCACTTTACCTGCCAGCCACACGTCCATTTATTGACAAAGATGATGGCCTTTCACCGCCTGTCGTGTTGCAAAAATCAGCGGAACTTCTCTTTGATGATGCCCCGTTTTACCATGAACGCATTAAAGGGTTTGATCAGCTCTTCCTGGTGGACCTTTCAAAGGCCAAGGTGCGTTGTAAAAAGGGTTCCAATTACAAGGATCTAATCATGCTCCTTCCTCAGGCCCTACGTCCTCAAATTTTGTCCACCGTCGTCATAGAGAAATTCACTGATTCTTTTGACAAGGGCGATAGATTTGATCTTGGCGCAGCCGTTTCGCTAAAAAGGTCACTTCATTCACCGCAATTCTGTCGTGGCATTATCAGACTTATTCGTCACGCAAGCCGCGAATACGAGGAAAAGGTAGATGAGAGTGTCGTTGCCACTGTCAAAAACCGATTGCAAAGTATCGAGATTCATGGAATGAGTAAAATTGTTACTCAGCTACTCTACAAAGGAATCAAAATTCCAGGAAGCGAGATGGAAAAGCCATACTTTGTGGAGAAGGTTAGCAAGTCCAGTGAAGAGATTTGGAATGTATATGTCAATGCTGTGGACGAAGGACAGAAAACGTCATCGGCAATAGCTCTGAATTTAGCCAAGGTGATATCAGAAGCATGTAAGGGACTCTTGAGGGACGCCGCTATGTTCATTCCCCCGATGTTGCAAAGTCAACCAGAGCAGATTTCCTCTTTTCTGGACATGATGAAGATACACCAAGATGATTCTTATGATGGGAAGGAAGGAGAGATCTTACCACCACCAGGTAGTTTTATTCCAATTGCCGAACAACACCTTCTCAATGCAGCCTTTTCATATTTCAAACCTGGTGAATACGTTGGATACGAAGTAGACGATCCAAGTCTAAAACTTGAAGATGGAGATGCAACTTACATTTATGCTGTAATAATCGAGGAAGTTTCAAATCTCGACACTAGTCTCATTACAAAGTCTTACAAGATCAACGTTGGAAACGACAAACCACCAAAAGTTGTCCCAGCAACTGAGTTGTACAAATTTTACCGTTTTCAAGAGATAGCGCCGGCTGCACTCGTTTCATCAGGTCATCAAGGGACAAATATGGATAGCAAACATGAAATATTTCAAGAGATCACCAAAACACTAGAAGAGGCTTGGGGGCTTTTAGAAGACAGAAGAAGACAAGTTGTCAAGCGACTATTTCTATTATGGCACCCGGACAAAAACCCTGGAAATGAGGAATTCTGTACCGAGGTTTTCCAGCACATAAGGAACGAAATTGATCGTTTGAAGAGGGAAGGCTGGGGTAGAAGTGAACGCGAAGGAAGCGAGAGTTACCATTACGGTGGTTCATATGGTGCCTTCTTTGGTTTTTGGGGGACACGTGCAAGAGAGTACAGTTCTCGCCGCCGTGAGTACCAAGAAACATACCATAGACATTATGGAACATGGGGACACGGAACGCGAACCTGGGAAGTTCCTCCTAGCTTTTGTGAAACGAATCCTCAACCAGGACAGGCGAGGCGCTGGTTTAGACAGGCCGAATCTGACCTCAATGCCGTTATGAACGACATTCAAACTGGTAATGCTTCTTACGAATGGGCCTGCTTTAAGTGCCATCAGGTATGAATTGAAATATTTACTATTGAACGTACAGGTGATTTTATTAGCAATAAAAGTCTACTTCTTTCATGCTTCCCTTTTCAATGTTAGCGTGGAAGGCTGATTGTTATGTGTTTATAGGCCGCAGAAAAGGCGCTGAAGGCTGCACAGTACGCGACAGATGCCTTTAAGACCAACGTTCATAACCTCGTCCAGAACTCCTTGATGTTAGACGACTCTCGACTGGTAACTGTTTCAAGTCAGCTCGAGGGATGTGTGGGTGATTCAACGCGCATGCGCTACCCTGATCGACTGGACTATCCCAAAATTCCAAAAGATGTTTACACAGAAGAAGACGCCCATCAGGCATTGGAGGCAGCGACGGAGATTCTACAAATTGTTAGGAGCAGAGTGTCGTAAGGTAATCGTCAGTTAACCAAGCTAATGTTTGAAGTAATCATTGAGCTGCTGAAAAACAACAGATATCACATTCTGTGAAAACGTTACATATGAGCTAGTTTAGTAGGATAAGCTATTTCTTTTAAGAAGGGTTTTAGAGCTTTTTAGCTGTTGTTCCTAAACGGAGTAGGGACTTCCAAGACTTAAACATCTGTTGAATGACTCTCACAATCCACCAGCTATATTATGGACACTGATTTGCGCATAAGAAAATCCTCTTTGTTTGTTTCACATCAGGATTGATTTCGTCCAAAATTGTCTTCACAATGGAGACGATCAGCAGGAGCAAGCTTGTCAAGATGCGTTACAGACGTCTTGCAGGAAAAGAGCCATAAGAAGATGTCAATCTAAATGCTTTTTACGTAAACATTTTAGTAACAGCTAAGGTTAATTAGACATTAAATGCAAGATGTTATGCATTGGTCCTTAGAGCAATATCTTGCGTATAGTGATTAGTTGATATCATGACGATGGGACACTGAAAATAGCCACTAACATTTCATTGCGTATAACCCAAATGAAGCTGTTTTCGCACTCATTTTATCCCGAGAAGGGTTTATTGGTAGCTTATTGTAGAAGGTAGGGGATTGTTTAAGGATTCTTATTGTACCTAAATTAAGAACAGTACTCTTCAGGTATCCATCAAGTTTTTAGTGACTTCTAACTGATGGTCGTTTAACGTGTTGCCAAGTTACCTGTAGCAAGTAAAATTCATTAGAACCTTTGTTGCAGTGTCTTGAATGCTGCCCAAAAAAAGATTTTCAAGGAAAACTAGTTGGAGGCAACTTTCATTTATATGTGCAAAAGAGCTCTTTTGGATACCTTTGTTTTTTCTTTGAGATTTCTTTCTGTCTAATAGTGTAGCTTCTACTGAAAGCGGTTGATGTAAAGTTGCGTTGACGTATAATTAGGGGACTTCAAAAGACTTTTCTCGACCTCATCAGTACCTTCAAAATTTAGCTCCGGTTGACAGTTACATGAGTAATTATCTAAGAATCTAAGAAAGCAGACGAATTAGTTTTCTGTAATTTCCATCATAAATGTGGACACTGTTGTTTAGGTATTGTGTTGTCGAACATTCGATTTACCGATTTCCTCTTACCAAGCGATCAACATAAGTTTATGTCGGAGCTAAGTAAAATAGCAAGTAGTGTATGTTCAGGAGTGAAGTTTTAATAAAAATTCCACAGTTGCTATTTTCCAGTTCAACTAGCTGTTGCTTTGGGTTTTCCCCAGGGAGAAAATAAAACTTTTTAAACAACTTAAGCTTATGCCAATATCAAGTAGTGTAATGTTCTTGAGTCAAGATTTAATAAATTTCCACAGTTGCTTCTTTTCCAAGCTCCTAACACTTAATAGGGCTTTCGATCCCAAGGGGCAAAAAAACTGTAGGAATTATCCAACGACGTGTCCGCCATAGGCGGGTGTCTGTAAAGCGGGGTTCAACTGTATTTTCTTTTCGGGTAACAGCCAAATGCAAGGCAAATAGCCAACGCGCACGGTACCCAAGTGCAAGACTAAATATTGGACTTGCTCATTCTACATAAATGACCTCTACTGAGATTTAAAGTTTAAAATAGGTCTATTTGGCATTTTGTCAGTAATTGCAGTAAGGCAGTTATAAACAGGCTTAATACGCAAGATGAAGAAGATTGAATCATTAAAATAGCTACCTATTTCTAAAAACAAGCATTTTGTCAAATTTCGAGAAAAGCTGGAAAGCTGCAACAAATGTTTTCCATTTTTGTTCAAGAATAACTATCGTCACAACTGCTACAAAACACCAATAATTCGAACGAGAGCACACTAGAAACTGTTGAAGATTCGTCTGATACACATATAACCTACGATTGGCACTCTTATTTTCCCATTTGCCATCTCTTTTCTTTCCGATCTGGAATAATAGAAGTATAATACGCCCAAAGACGGAACATCATCCAGTAAGTAGAGAGCTTTACCAAACGACAACGACGGCGCGGGAGCGTAAAATTGTGTTTTTTTCAAATATTTCTTTGACCTCCGCTGAACGACCACGATGAGAATGTAACTTCTTAATTCTATGGTGAACACACTATTTCGAATTTTCAATTATCGTTTTGAACTTGGATAGAGTCCAAAATCATTCAGCTCCAAGAAAATTGGACTACGATTAACTTATTGAGCAAGGCGAAGTTTGAACGCGAAAGGAATTTGAAAAGAAACAATTATAATGTTTAGTGACGTTTTCACTGCCATCGTCGACATAGCTGCTTTAAGCTCCCTTCCGACTGTCCTTGAAACCTTACATGTGTTACACCTAAGGGACTGTTACTCCTGACATATCAACTACTCGTTATGTAAATGTGTACAATACTTTGTCCACTTCGCCATGTAAGACTACATTTTTAAAACATGAGTGAAGCAGGGAGTTATGGGTATGAGAAGCAGCGGATTACCTCGGAACTGACAGAACATGTGTGCGTGGCGCTCACTTTAATACTCATGAGTCGACACGTTGCCCAGATTCTGGCCTTGGTACTTGAAATTAAGCGTGTGTTTACACTTGTTCTCGAGGAGTACCTTTTAAGGGCACCAACTGTGGACGCTGTTTTTTAAGACGCAAGCATAACCTTAAGCGACCTAAGCAGCCACAGTAGCATACTCACTATTCTAGACCATACCATATCCAGACGAATCCATTAAGTTAAACGCATAAAAACTTACACGTTTAAGGCTGTGCACACGAGAATAATATTCAGCTCTGTGTACGAGCCTGTGTACGAACCTGTACTAATGATGATCGTTTCCATCATTGACGTGTGAACAAAACGTGTAATCTTGAATGCGTTTAAAAAATTTTAAATAATTGACTCGTGTGGACTGACTTATGGAGCAATGGTGGTGTAGATTTACGTGAGAGCACTTTTCTAACAAATGGCTCGAGTTCAGTCCCGACGGCGACGCCACTTGTGTGTTGGGTCTGTTGCTGTCTCTCGCTCATGCTATGATAATTCCCCGGGGGGGGGGGCACTCCGCATATGAAAGGGGAGGGGATGCTCGTCGGAAATTTT